AGGCCTCTGGCAGGGGTGCTGGATGTCAGTGTTAAAAAACCCATCACGGAGCAAAACAGATCACATGATAGCCTCAAAGCCAATGGGAGACATAAGAAGTATCTGAGGTTCTACCATCTCCTTCAAGGGCCTGTGCCCCAAAACCTAAAGATCTCCCCCTGGGTTTCACCTTCCAAAGATTCTACCACCTCCCAGTAGGGCTACTGTACAGACTAAACTTCCAATCACAAATGACCTTTGGGAAGGCACAATTAGACAGTTAAACCCAATGTAAACCACAGAAGCCAGAAAGAAGAAAATTATAAAAAAAATTATAGATATGAACTTAAGTAAGTCGATTGCAAAGAAGTCACCACCCTAGGGACTCCATTGTTAATTAAAACAATAAAGGAATCACCGTGATTTCAGTCAGAGGTAGACAAAGTAGAGCCTTACAAATCAGATGCCTTTCAGGCCAGTACAATTGCTGAAGTCCAACTCTCTTGAGATAGTTTGAAAATATTTACCTTTAAAAACAATCGCATTAGTCAAAATACAATAAAGAAAATAAGCATTCACACAGGTGCTACAATAAGTCCATTCGTAACCCTTGGAGCACATGGCTGTAAGTCTTTCTTCTGGTTGCAAGTATCCTCATTTATTGGTGTTACTCTGGCCCTTAGCACACTCACTATTACAGATGCTCAAAAAGCCAGCAGTCACATATTTCTTTAAGCAAGCCTTATTTTCTTGAATCATTTTGCTTTATTTTTTACTAATGCAATTTTCCTGGTAGGTATTGTTCAAGTTACTCACAAAACAGTTATGAAGAAGTAATCACACTAATTCAAGTTAAAGAGGAAAAAAATTTCTTAAGAGAGCATCTGTTGTGAAAGAGAAATGTACTCTCTTACGTTCAGAAGAATGTTTTCTGACTATTCTTCTCTGTCTTCGTCTCCTTTAAGGGCAGCTTTGCAAAAAATATTTTGTATGGGCGGAGGTTGCTTCTGAGATTATCTGCTTATTCAAAACAGAGGAAGTTTATTTTCCACCTGTCCCTGTGGATATTATTCTTGCCCTTGTTTCTGAGGAAGAGGGACCCCTTTTCATTTCTACTTTGGAAAAATATTTATACAGGAATTTGTCTTATCTGGTGAGTCCCTCACTTTAGTTTGTACAATGCTTCTACCTTCTAAGAATTTCCACTGCTGAAATATTTCTGGGAAAAATTTAAAATATTTCCCACAATAAATGCATCTAATCATTGCCCCTTTGCAACATGTGATATAATCAAATAAATGTGGAGATATAAGGCAAAACACATTCTCAATATGTCCAAAAATTTCCATGCACCGTAATGAAAAAATTGGATAGCTTTCCAACTGGTCACCAGCTTCCTATCTTTCTACATAAAGGAGCCAGAAGTGTTTTTAGAAGACTTGCATCAGTTTTCTCTTCAATAACTTTCTGATAGACCCCTGAAGAATAAAGTTGAAAATCTTTAGTATGACATTCAAGGCCCTCCAAGACTTGGTTCTAATTTTGTGGCTCCCTTCCCTCTACAGTTATTGATAGGTGACAGAGGGCACTGGAGCTAGAATTGTATTTAGTGCTTTGAATTCATTAGATGTTTGATATCTCATGAGAAGTCAATGAGATGTGTGTTTTAAATCACTATTTTACAGAAAAGAAAACAGGCTCAACAAGACTAAGTAAGCTCCCAGTGTCACACGAGGGTGATGACGGAGCCCTGCTGGGGCAGAGGCATTCTTGCTGCAGTGCTCATGTGCTAATCACAAGCCCTCATCACTCTGCTCCCGGACTCGCTGTCCCATTCCCCAGCTCCTGCCCAAGCTAGGTCTTTGATTTGGAATAACATTTTCCCTACAGCCTTGCTCAGCCCTCAGGATCCAGTTCCAATGCATCTGCCTCCTCAAACTGCTATCACCAGTCAGTTCAGGGTTCTTTTGCTTGACTCAGATAGAATTCCTGAACCAGCAGAGGGCAGCTCTGCTAGTAGCCCTGAGCCCTTAGTGCAATATCTCTGGGCCTGGTGTCACTGACACCAGTTAATGCCAGGCTCCATCCATCGATACTACCAGTTGTGGGTCTCTGCTGCTACTGTCCATTGCCAGCCACTGTTGGTCTATACACGTTTGTGCCAGATGTCAGTCAACTGTGCCAGTTCCTGGTCTCTGTCACTGATCTTCGTTGGCTGCTGGTCTCTGGAGCTCTTCATGTTAATTGCCCCAAGTATTTACAGTGTATTTCTCCTTCTTTAAAAGCAACTGCTCTGTTCCCACCACCTTGAGATAAGAATCCCAAATAGATTTTACCCCACCTTCCGAGTCATGCTACCTGAAAAATACATCGTGAGCACATTCACAAGGCCACCAGAGCAAGGCTTTATTTGAACAAGACCTGTGCAGTACTACAAGAAACTCAGTACACGACAAAAATCCCACCTAGAGTATTGCTTATACAACAGGTGCAGGCCTATGACTGGTCCAAAGTCAAGCCTCCTGATTGGTCCAAACTATTCTAAACTCAAACCTTCTGTTTCGAGCTTACTGATTGTTCCGAACTTACTGATTGTTCAGAATCATTTTATATTTTTTCAAGCTTTAAATTCAAGCTTTCTGCAGTCAAGGCAGACATCTGGAGCAGGTGCTGGGCGTCCATTCAGGACAACTGTAGCTGTCACACCAGCAGTCTGGCGGAACCTCAGGAGATGCTGTTTGATTGACAGCTGTCATATCTCTGTAAAAAATGACAGAGCTGAAACTGAAGAATCTTCAGAGGGTTAAGCCGTGTTCCTCACAGCTTAATGGGGTTTGTGGAGGCAGGCAATGTTAATAATGGGCCCTGATCCCTCCTGGAGTGGCAGAAACGGTAGAGGGGACCATGGCTGACCTCTTGTCAGAGTGGCCCGGAGAATGGTGTGGGAGGACATGGAGGCAAGCTGTCCCAGTCCCTCCTCAAGGGGCTGTGGGGGAATGAAGGGAAGAGAGAGGTGGGATGTGACAGCTCTTGGCCAAGCCACAACCCCTCTGGCCCTCTGGCCGTCTCAGTACAACATGGGAAGAGTTGCAGTTCTCATTCGTCTCTCAGGGGTTCCCTTTTTATTCGCCTCTTAAAACATTTTACCCCTCTTGTCAGGAAAGCAAACTCGCTCACTTTCACAGTACCTTGACAGCAGGGCCTGTGTCTTCTACACGTAAAGAGTCCAACAAAAGAAGTATATACACACTTTAGGAAAAGAAAAATTGTGTAAATATTTTAATGCTAAATTTATTGTGCTATCATGAGATTAATACAAGTTGTCTTTTTGTCCTCTACAACTACAAGAGGTGCTCAGAGGAGTGGCTGTTAGCCTCCACTCATTTATTAGGGCAGGGAACTGATGCTTGAGTAGCTTTGGCCAAAGTGTCAAATGAGATTGATGCAGGTGCATTTTCAGTTTCTTCTCTAAGGGCCAGCCGTATAGTGGTTTATTTTTGAGAAACCCTACATCCTTTAGGGTCCCCCATTGATAAAAGTCTGCAGGTGTTAAATCGGGAGTACAAGCACGTGGGGCATTAGACATTTCCTGACGTGTGCATACATTTTTTGGATTCTGTATGTTTCTCACAAAGACCTTCTGCGGAAATAATAATTAGTATTCAGTAGATTTTGCGAAGTTTAATTGACCATGGCCAATTCCTAAATAACTCCTTCTTAACTACAGGTGATTACATGAGATGAACAGCAGGGGGCAGCAAATCCAGTTAAAAGAGAGTCTGGGACCCAAATGACCTGAGGATATGACGGTTCACGCTAGGAGGCACAGAAAAGAAAAAACAAGAAAATACTTTTTTACATTGACAGTCTGAATTCCAGTTCTGGCCCTTCCTCTTTTAGCTAAATGGACTTGGGCACTTTCTTTAATCTTCCTTAGCTTCAGGAAGGTCATTAATAAAATATCAGTGTCAACATGTATGATCATATTTTAGCTAAACGGCAGCTGTTATCATTATGGACTGTAGAGTCCCTGGAGACATGCTTTTTACTACTACCCTCTAACGTGCCCCCCCCACAAACTTCACCTTGTCAAATAACACTATCTTCCTCCCAGTGCTTCACCAGACCGGGACGCCTCCCGTGATTCCTTCAACCCCACCATCCGTCACAGCACATAACAGGCAAGCACGCTGACTCTGTGTTATGGTTTGAATCGGTGTGTCCCCCCAAAGCCTCAAGCGGCCAGGCTTGAGGGGCAGACTATTAGAGTTTGAATATGGGTGTGAGAGCTGCACCCACCCGGGAGTGGATAGTTTGCATATGGAAGGGAGAGGAAAAGGGTGCTTGAGGACATTCCTCCCCCATTCCGCCCTGGTGTGTGGTTGTTGCTTAGCTGTGTGCTGCCACCCTGAGATGCAGCCCTCTGCCACGTGCCACTTTGCCTTATAATCTGCCAAGTACGGGCTGAAACCTCCACGAACTGTAAGTGAAATAAACCTTTCCTTCCTTAATTTTGGGCATCAGATATTTTGTCCCAGCAGCAAGAAAAAAGTAACCAAGACACTCTGCCTCCCTGGAGTATCTCATATCTGCCCATTTCTCTTTAACACTGCTACTACCACCCCAGCCCAAACCGCCTTTATCTTATCTTCCTGCCTCAGCTTCTGGAATGGCTTCTCAACCGGACCTCCTGAGCCGTATCAGTCCCTTAGACCCATTTTCTATATAGTATTTAGTTATCTTTAAAAAATGTACATCAGGGCCAGGTATGGTGGCACAATCCTATAATGCTAGCATACTGAAAGGCTGAGGCAGGGAGACTGAATTTTCAAGTCCAGCCTCGACATGTGAGTGACTGAAGTGAAACCTGGTTTCAAAATAAAAACCAAAAAAGGCTAGATATGTTGTGCAGTGCAAAGGCCCTGGGCTCAGTTCCCAGTACAACACACACACACACACACACACACACACACACACACACACACACACAAAACAACAAATAAAATCACACCAGTCCCTTCTTGGAGCCATCTGTTTTATTCACTTTCCCACCTGCGGCACAAAATACCTGAGATCTTCAATTTAAAGGGGATTTGACTCACAGGTTTTAGGGGACAGGACCATAGTCAGCTGGCTCCAGGGCAGAACCTGCATGGCAGAAGGACACAGCAGAGAAAAAATGTTAAATTCAGGGCCACCAGAAAGCAAAGAGGGAAAGGCGGAGCCATAGTCAAGAATACACCTTTCCACACCTTCCCTGCTTCTGACCCACGTCCCATCCCTGAACTGTGCTGTGAGCTATAAGCCCATCAGTGAACTAATCCACGGATAGGTATGGCACCCCGTGATCTAACCACCTTCAAAAGCCCTGCCACAGAACACAGGTACACTTTGGATCAAACCTGTAACTCTGTTTGGTAGCTTCCTAGCACCCGTAGAATAAATCAAGTCCCAGAATGAATAACAAGCTATCAAAATATACAGTGAAAGTTTACATTTTTAAAAATTATTTCAGTAGAAGAAACACTGCCATTAATCTCATTCAAAATACTTGCTCTTGCTTCAAATACACTTACCCATCATTCTTGTCACTTTCTGAAGCAGTTCAGGAAGTCCTCTTTCATGAGTGTTTTTATACATATGATAAAAATAAGATGCTTGCTATTTCTGAGTGCCATCCGGGGGAAAGGTACGCTCCTAGAAACATTACTGTTTGTCCTCATCCACCTATTCACCAGATTTTACACTGTGTGACTGGTGGTTCTTCCCCAGAGTCAAAATGACCATGAAAAGTAAGCATTTTGAATTGATTCAAGACACTGAAGCAGCTACAATAGTGAACCTAATGGCACGTATGAAAGAATTTCCAGAACTGCTTCAGAAAGCGGCAAGAAGTGTGGGATGTGTGTTCAAAGTCAGGGGAAGTATTTTGAGGAGGATTAATGGAAATGTTTTCTATTGTAATACTTTTTAAAGTTTAGATATTCACTGTATTTTTATCACATCTCATAGTTCTGCTACTCCTCTGGCTCTTTGTATCACTCTTTTCACTCCTTTTTCCCCCAGCCCACTTGCTTTTCTACTGCCCTCAAACACCTTGGGCTCATTCTCAATTCCAAAAACCTAGCAATTTTTCCTACTGTTCCTCAAACATCCCTTCATACCCCTTGCCTAGAGTGCTTTTTCTTCCTATTTGACATAGGCATCTCTATTCACTCAACCTTCAGTTTAAATGTTTATCTGTACATACATACATACATATATACATATGTGTTTGTGTATATCACACACTCAATATTTGCTTATGTAACACATGTGTACATACACATATTTTGATCTACTTGCAACTAGAATTTATGTACCATGAAAGGAAGAATTTTACTTGTCTTGTTGAAAACTATAACCCTACCATATAAACTATTACAAGGTCTGCAAAAGATGCTACATAAATTATCTACTGAATAAACAAATATCTGTGGCTCTGAATAAGAAGCCACATTTAGAATGAGACAACTACAAAATAATCATATTCATTTATCAAATGTTGTACTAAGTAGTAGAGAATCTAAAGTGAAGCACAAACTAGGCATGATGGTGCAAGCTTGTAATTCCAGCATGCTGGGAAGCTGAGGCAGGAGGGTTGCAGATTTGAGCCCATCCCAGGTGACTTACCCAGATTCTGTCTCAAACTGAGAAGAAGACAGAGAAAGAGACAAACAGGAAGAGGAAGACAGCAAAGGAGAAGGAGATCGAGAAGGGGGAAAAGAGGAAAAATTTCATCCATCAAGGAGCTCACAGTATATTAAGATTTTATTATGGTAATTAAGACTTTTTAATAACAAAATATTTCCTTTATATCCATCTCTTATATTTCCATTTTTTCAACCCTTACTGCACACAGAGCCTCCTGGGGAGGTGGGTGGTTTAACAGGATAAATGCATTCTTTAGAAGTTTAATAGACCTGGCTTCAAATCCCAATCTCCCAACCAATGGCAGACATACAGTTTATACAAGATCTCTGGGTTTCCTTTTTCATCTATAAGAAAAGGAACAGAGATGTCATCGAGACAGCACAACAGGAAGCCTGGGATGCTTCTTCCCATAAACACAGCTATTCGACACCAACATGGGATTCACTGGTTTTATGAGAAATCTAGAAATTAGTTTAGCATTTCCTGCTCTCCAAGAGAGTAGAAAAGCAGTCTATTGAAACTAGAAAGAAAAGTTGGGCTACTTTTTTCCCCCTATCCCACTCCTAGCACAGAGCTATATGATCAGGAGGAACCCAGATCCTAGCTTTTTCCTGAGAAACCGAGAAGTTGGACCACATCTTTTGCATTCCAGTCTTTTCTAATGATGTACAAGGAACTAGCTTTGGTCTTGTTTGTTTCAGACAAAGCTGATGGAGCCCAGTACAAGGTAAACTTATGGGCACTACGGAGTACAAAGCAAGGGTTTGAATAAGTGTGTGAGCATTCACCACAGCTCTTATCCCAAGCTCAGCGCATTGTGAGCAAGAGAAAGACCCCAGTTCCCAGCTTTTTCCTAGGAACAGACTTCAACTATTATCCAGCTTTCCAATGTGTAAGACTGGCTTTGTCCACCTCTCTTGAAGAGGTGGGTCCTGGCATACTCTACACACTTTAGCACTGCCAAGAACAAAGACATCAATCAGACATCCTGGAATAAGGTTGGCAAAAATCCCCTGGGTCTTTCCTAATGCTGGGGATAAATTCCAGGCTGGAGAGCATGTGGCTAGGAAATTTACCATGTCCTGCCTACAATAGATGCCTCTTTTTGTCCATTATCCCCTCTTACGTTGTCTTCCTGGTACTTGGAACCAAACTGCCAACTCTTTTGTCATTCAAATTTCTCTACAAATCTATTCACAGCTTCCCCTCCTCCAAGCAGATTTGTGGATGCTCTGGTCATGTTCTATGCATGATTGGGAGTCCTATTTAACCTGGTGCTTGAGATCAGATTGAGTCTCTAAACCCTTAGGAACAGAGTTCATTGTGAAGATTGGCCCTGCAAAGCCCCTCTGTATGATGGACCCAACAACTTGTAGAATCTCCAAGCTGAAGGACCCTTCCGTCGCCTAGTTCCTTGGCCTCCATCCTGCCCATCACACCACGGAGAACAGTACACCTCCAGAAGCAGCCTGGGGAGACCCACTTTGGTTTTAACTCACTTCAGTGTGGAAGCCCCCACCTTCATCCCCAAAAGGGAAAGCCTTTTTTACAGCCAATTCAATTCTATCTGATTCCTAAGTTATCCTAGCTTTTTTCCTGTATATGTATTCAATGGGGCTGAAGACTAACAACTATAGAGCTTAAGGCTATAGTCATTCTTGTTATTAATAGAGTAATTGTTTCCCCATTTTTTCAAGATAATTGTCTCATTTTTAAATTATTTAGTTCATCAAGCATTACCAGCATTTATTATATGCCAAGTTTGTTGAGAATAGAAATTTGAATAAGACACAATCTCTGCCCTCATAATTTATAGTCTAGCGAGAGTATAATAAGCTCAGAAGCCATGTACTGGATTCATGGAGTGTAAGAACCTCCACAACTGCGTGCAATTTGGGGGAACCAGTGCATATTTCTGACAGAGGTCAAATTCCTTTCTACCAGATTTTAAATGGGGACCATGACACAAAAGGCAAAAACCCACAGCAATATGGACCTGGTCACAAGCATCAGACTCATGATCACAGTCAGAGTAAGGAACAGGGTTTGCTGAGTGGTCTCTATAGAGAAGTCAGTGCACAGTCCAGGACCCCCGTTCACAAGCAGTGGTGGGTATCTGATGCCTGAGACCCACCTGGCTCCTGGAGTGGGGAAGAGGCCTGTGGGAGGTGTTACTTTGAAAGCCCTGCTACAAAGGAAGCCTTCTCACTATCCCTGAATTCTACTTCAGTGACTTCTTCCTATGTTCCACAGCTTTATTATTTTCATTTTTGTTCTCAAAATATATTTCAAGTTCTCCATGAGATCTCTGCACCCATAAGACAGGACAAAACAGTGAGCTCCCTGGTGAGTTGCATTGCACGGCGTGTTTATGGTATTGGAGGATTCTCTCTTCTGGGCCTAGGGCTGGTATAATTTGGCCAAAAGGACCATAGTTAATTTTACAAATTATTTTTGTAGTGTTTACACACTCATTTTAAGATCACTATCTATTTAAAATATTATTGTTAGCTTCCAAAATTTGTGTTCCTTAGACCTTTTTTCATATATATATACATATATATACTGACATATATGTGTATATTATATAAGATACAGACACACATATTATATATGTAATATATTATATACACATATATACTCATGTAATATATTAATTATACGCATAAAATAGATATTATACATATATACATATATGTATATATAATATGGTATATACAATACAAATGCTGTATAAAATATATTAATATGCTAGCTAATTTTATATGTATTACTCAAACAAGCCCTTTTAAAATCAGAAGTAGAAAATAGAAAGAAGAAAAGTTGGAGAAGCAAAAAGGATGAATACTGAGGGCCTCCAATTTTCAATTTTGTGACACAAATTTCATCTCAGTGACAGTTCAGCGAGCACTGCTAATGTGAGAACAAAACTCATATTTTCCATCATCAAGAAGACCATAGCAAATGAATAGAATGGGTTTCATTCAGGTTATTCGGGGTCAGGTCATTTTGCTTTTATGCAAAGATTGCTGAAATCTTCATGGAGTAAACAGGCAAAAGGTGACATCTAGAACACGGAGCAGATCACTCTGTGTTCCCCTGCACGCAGATATTTGGTGCGTCAGAAGGAATAACATTAAAGAAGGCATCTGATCAAACATTAGATTCTGTTAAGGCCACGAGAAAATCTAAAAATAATTTTGGCTCTTCTTAAACTGCCGGTTTTAATGAAATCATCATCTTGGTCACGTAATCAGGAACAAACTTTATCAGAACATATTTAAGTCAGCAAGCATTTACTGACTGCTTATTATTAGGAGGTTGTGGTGCTAAGCTGTACAGGTGCCACAGCTAGGACAAGAAATAGTCATTCTTGGTGGAGCTACAGAACAGAGAGAGAGAGAGAGAGAGAGAGAGAGAGAGAGAGAGAGAGAGAGAGAGAGACTCACAAATTA